ATACAAGACAGAACACAAAGCAATCTGCTGGTACATTTTAGCTCCTTGCCAACAATTCACATTACATTTCACATTTGTGGTTTGTTGAATGCATATGCTGCGGAGTTATAGTATTGTGGATACATTTTGCTACCATTCCAGGCAGCCATTGATTTCCATTCATTTCTTTACAGTGTAAAATAATATTTTAAAAAGGACAATTTGCACATGTAAATTCAAAAAGCCTTTGTTCCAACATAGAAATTAATCATTTTACAATTCAAGTTACAGCTTGGAGACATTCTTTAATTTTATAGACTAATTGATTAACTGATTAATTGATAATAAAAATGCATAGTTGCAAACCAGTGAATTCCTCAAACAATAAAGATTTAATTTTTAAAGGATAGCAACACTATCTGTCAATGGTTATCCGTACATATGATTACTAAATGGACTAAAACAGGCAACACCACAGGCACTGGTGCTTTATTTCATCCTTTAATATCCTACAATCACAGTATAGATTTTCCTTGCGAGTCATTTCAACTGAGCCAAATCAGGAAAGACAAGTATTTTTCAGTAGCCTGACTTATTTTCACTGTTAACTGAGCTTGCAGGCTGCCTTAATAAATAGAGCTCTATGACAAGTGACAGGCATCACTGGCCACCCTATTAGGTACACCTGTACAAGTGTATGCACTTTTACTTAGGAGGTGCCTCTATACTTTTGTCTGCCCCAGCTACATGCATGAGAGGGTCAGAGTATTAGGAACACCTCTGAATATAACGTAGTCCAGTACACCACCACCTTTAAACTATGATCAAATCATAGTCAAATGATCAATAATAAACATATAATTGAATTAATATATTTGACAGTTTCACCAAAAACTGAAACATTTTGAGCTTCATAAAGACAGATGTTAAGGCAGAAGTGTTGCATTTAAGTGCATACAATTGCACAGGTGTACCTAATAAAGTGGCTGGTCAGTATAAATACAAATAGGGCTGCAAGAAATCCTGAAATGTTTTGATTTTTTTTTTTTTATTTGTTAACTTGAGTTCACAGATTATGAAATGAAGCCAGTCAACAGCCCAATTATTTTCTTCTAATCTAAAGTTACTTCAAATCATCCCTGACAGAAACAACACTGAGGTAGTGCACGTGGATTTACTGTATGTCAGATGGTGGCTACAGCTCCCAGAAACAGCTTAAGACATGCACACGCAATAGACAACAAACAATCAAATCCTCCACCAAATTCCTGCAGGACTAATAATCCTTATTGCAGCAAGTTACACCGCGGTAACGCTGAATACCTTCCGCTAACACAAACTAACATTTAAGGAAGGAACGAACGATTGTTTGGTGGACAGTTAACCCCATAGCTACGAACATCGAGGACATAAGGTTAAGCTGAGTTCCACGGCACTTTCCTGCTG